ACCCACCCACCATCCACCCCCTCTTCGACCCTCTTAAGCCCGGCGAGGCTTAACAATGCGGCAATAATGATTGGTGGCCATTAAAGCAGGCCGGGCTGGGGACGGACGTGTCGCGGGACGGCACGTTTACGACGAGGATCGGCAAGCAGTTGCCGGAAGCCCATCGTCGTTGTTGTTGTCCTCCGTGACACTTGGTCGGGGCCCAACGACGTTGTGCTGCACAAATCTTACGCGGGCGGAAGCTGAATCGACTAACTACGGGTTTGAGGAGCACGGGTCGACCTTGACGTGTTACGCCGACGACGTCGTTGTAGAGGTAACAGTGTGCGATAAAAATAGAGCTGCTGTATTTTATTTATTTTTTTTTCAAGAAAAAAAAGGAACTATTCTCACCTGCGGGAACTCGGTGGCCAGGAAGAGGAGCAGGACGGCGAGCAGCATCCTGGTGGTGCGGTCGGCGCGCTTCTCGGCCCGGGAGCGGCGCGCGTTGTTGTTGTGCGCTTGCTTGGGGCACAGCTTCACCACGGGCTGCCCCTGCCCGCTCAGCTGCTTCTTGCGCTGCTTGGCCGTGTACAGTGTCCGCATCAGCGATATACTGCACACACCAACCAACAAAACGAAATGAAAGTTATGTGAACCAACATTTATTTATTTTTTGTGTGTGGTTGTTAGTTTGTGTGTGAACCGTTATGCTGCAAAAAAATCCAATGCGGTATTTTTGCTTTGGTGCACACACTGCTGTAGCTATTTCGGGATTTGAATAAAGCAAAACTGACACAACTTCACGCCACCACCGCACGCGTGCGCAGGGCGGGCCGCATAGCGCGCCGCGCGCCACCACGGCCGTTCTGCGCGCGCCCCGCTAATGCATTCTCAATTGACCCGTACATAAACATGCCGACGCCGCGCATCCGGGACGCGTTCCGCCAGAAACAAGCTCGCTGTTGATGGCGCTACAGTGGATACACCACACTGCCAGAAAACGATCAAATACACAAACGAGCCGAGCGCCCTGCCGGGTCTTGCGTCTTTCAAAGCAGCCCGTCGTATACGCCGAGCAAACAACCGACAGCCCAGCCAGCGCCACCCTCGGTCTCCACGTCCCAGGCCGGTGGGTGAACAGTCTCTCTGTCGGGCTAGCTCATATCATTCAGTCCCGCTCCTCTCCCCGGAGTGTGAGGGAAGGAAAGAGGAAGCGCTCGGCGAAATAATTGGTTCGTATAGAGATCTGCACAAACAGGAAAAGGAGAGGAAGTGGAGGGAGGCGTCAAGTGGCGCGGTAAAACGAAGAAGAAACATGTAACGTAACACCTGTGGGGCTCTGCTGTTGGGCTGATTGGTACAAACACAGGGAAAATTCAGATTTACTCTCACACAAAACATAATTCCCCCAAGATCTTTGAGAAACATAAATTCATCATCTGATATTTCAAAGGAAACGTGTCACGGTGAATTGGAAATATGAGAACATTTTTGTTTGCTACTGTGTATGGGGGTTGGGGTGTGGGTGGCAATCCCGGTCTCTCACTGCAATAGCGGAAGCAAACTAAGCAAACGAGAAGAGTGCGCCCTGCGGCGGAAATTTGCTTCAAAGCAAACACATTTTGGTAAGAGCCCTGAGGAGGGGGCGGATTGGGGTAAGAGAGAGGGCTCACTCGATCCACCCACTTCCCAGCCGTGCCGCCGGGGCAGCATTACAACACGTGTGCCCTTAAAGTAAGACGGCGGCGACGGAGATGAGGAGGAGGCGCAGGGAGCGTCGGGGCAGCGGGGCAACACGGGGAAAGGAATATGCTCTAACTTTGTGTGCAGTCGGCAGTAAAGTCCGCGGAAGCGGCGCGGAGGCGCAGGTATGAGGGCGGCGGCGCCAACCTTATTCCCGGAGCTGCTCCCCCCCAGCTCCAGGAGGGCGCAAGAGTCAGCAGACTTTTTCTCCCCTACTTCTTTTTTTTATTTTGTATTTTATTCCGGCACGCCAAATAGTCGAAACTGGGTGACTTGAAACTCTAATAAGGAGCCAGAGCAGCAGCAGCAGCAGCGGCCCCGTGCGCCTGTCCCTTCTTCTCCCGCGCCCCAGCCCCGCCGCGCTGACGCTGCAAAGGCGGCGGGCCGCTGCGCGCTGCGCCTGTCAGGGCCGCCTACCCACTGCGCTCTTTAGGAGGGGCCGGGTACCAGCGCCGGGTAGTACCGTTGCTGCGATCTCTACTACTCGCTAGTACCAAAGTTTCACGCGGGACCGTGCAATTTTCGTAATCCAGGTACCAGAGTCAGCCGCGCACTTAAACTGGAATTTCTCTGCGACCATTTTAGATGGCGTTTTGTTTTGAATACCTACATTTTGTAACACACTTTTTAAAAAATGCTAAAATTCGGCCTCCTCCTTAACACAAAAGCCGAATGAGTTTTGGCATCAGTTATAATGTGTCTAACGTGTAATTTGCACACGAAGGAAATGTGCAAATTCTAAACTTTTCTGAAATTTCTACAGTTTGCACAACTGACGGTAAACAATCAAATACAAAGCTACCAGAATTAACATACCGATGAAAAGCTACGATTGAAACAAAGTGAGTAAAGTGCGTACCTGATGGCCGTGAGGATGGCGCAGGGCAGGAGCTTGACGAGCACGGCGTGGAACCAGAGGTTGAGTTCGTAGAGCAGCTGGTTGTGGCGGCGCGCGTGCTCGCTCAGGTCGACGTGGAAGCGCGACACGAGCCGGCCGTCGTCGCGCTTGCGCCGCGTCTCGCGCACCGAGAACACGAGCAGCGAGGGCGCGCACAGCGGCAGCGGCGTGAGCAGCGACAGCAGCAGCGCCAGCCAGCACCGCCCGTCCGTGCACAGCCGCGGCGCCAGCTGGGGGAACCTACCCGACAGAAGAGAATCATTGCACATGGGTACTCCAGTGTACGCCCTCCAAAAAAAATGAAAAAAATCATGAAAAATTGAGCAGGAAAAATCAGAGTTTTTAAAAAAAAATCAGGAAAATTTAGAAAAAATCGGGAGCGGTCAAAACAAATCAAGAAAATGCAGAAAAAACAAGTGAGCTTGAATTTCTGGAAAAGTACCCAGGTTTTAGCACATGGGGTTTTGCGAGCGGGTGACATGAATTTTGCAGTTCAGCCAGTTGAGTCAGTTTGGGGAGTCTTAGGTTAGTCAGTCAGTGTGGCGTTCCAAAGCCTGATCGGCTTAGTCTACACGCTTTCGTATTTGGTTAGATTGCACCTGTCAAACAACAAGCAAGTCCGCAAATACCGCACCCCGGGTCTCTCTGGCGCTTCCTGGCGCCCGCACCACCACGGTGAGGCCCGGTCAAGCCCCTCTAAAACTTTCAGGAGTCCGTGTTCGCCGTTCACAGAGCGGTCAGGATTAGGTGTCTGGCGCTGGTACTCACTGGACGGCGATGTACCTCCAGGCGGCCAGCGAGAGCGTGAGGCAGATGGAGGCCGTGTGCAGCAGCTGCGAGAAGTGCATGTGCACGAGGAGGAACGTGGCGCCGGCCCGCGAGTAGTGCGACCGCGGAGGCGACAGGTACAGGTAGGCGGCGAACGGCGCGTACTCGGCCATGACCAGCATGTCGGCGGCCGCGAGCCCAGTCAGCAGGCGGTTGACGGGCGCCGTGGCCAGGGCGGGCCGCGTCAGCACGGCCAGGTTGATGGCGTTGGCCAGGATGCCGGCCGTGCACACGACGAGCGATACGTAGCCGTGGTAGTCCCTGTACGCCGCGGACACCTCACGGACCTGGGAAAAGAGGTTCAAGGTATTTCCAGTTAAGATTAGTTTAGTAAAAGAAATATTAACCGCCCTGAACCGTCACAGTCATATGACGAAAGTACCGAGTGATTCAGAGCACGCGCCGCCGTGTTGCGGGTTTGCCTATCCTCGACTCGGCGGGCGCACGGGTGAAAGGTGAGGAGGGGACCCCTCACCTCCTCACGTGTCACCCGTGTGCCCGCCGAGTCGATGATAGGCAAACCCGCAACACGGCGGCGCGTGCTCTGAATCACCCGGTACAAGTTTAGCTCTCATAACGCCTGATAGGTAGGCAACATCTTGTCTGCGATGCACGAGTGTGCTGCGGGTTGGCCTACCCCGACTCTCGCAGGCGCTGAGCTCCCCACTGTTATTTGTCGAATAAATTGAAAAACGGAAGTATTTTGTGGACGCTGCCTTTTCCACAAGCAAACACCAGCATCATTACCATTATAGGAGTCTTTGTAATGACACCATTACGCCCAACTGCGTTTTAAAGTCATTAATGAGCAACCCAACCCTCCCCAAATCACTCGGATCTCGAGTTCAAAATCAACTGCTCTTTCTCTTGTATGCGCAACCGGGATCTCCCCTTCCTTCCCTAACGAGTGTATACAGCACACGGAAAAAGACCCTGGATTCGAAATCCTTGTTTGCTTCCTCAATCAAGCTCGAAAAACATGAAGGTTTTGCATGAAACAAAGTTGTGCAGTTTAGCGCGCTGCCTGCGACGTGACAGACGTGGCACACACTGTGTGAGTTAACAGGTGCAGTTTTAGAGCCAGCTGATGGGGGCGTTCTATGGGTTGCGTACATATAGAGTTTTTTTTATGAATGTCGTCCCCAGGCAGCTTTCTAGGGCTGACCCGGGGGAGGAGTGGGGGGGGGTGAAACTGCATTATTTAGGGAAATAGTTTAGCAGTTTAAACTGTAAATCTTTTCTTATTTTTTCCATTGTAAATAGAGCCATACAATTTTACTTTTAGGGAAAACTGACAAATTATTACGCAATGGTTGGATTTGTCAGAAAACCTGTGTTTTTCTTTATCTCTAACCCCC